CCATAAAAACAGACCTAATGATGAAACTAGGGCAGCCCACAGTGACAGAGCCCCTTGCAACCTGAAGCAACGCTCTCTGAAGCCCTTGATGTTAATAATAACAACCTCAAGATCCAGCTAAATTAATTTTCCAGCAACATATTCTGCTGTCTAAGTTAAACTAAACGCCTGAATTCTTATCCTGCAGTGTGTTAGTCAGCAGAAGGTTAATAATTAAAACTTGATCTTTTCTTAATTGAGTTTTATGAAATGTAAGACAGATTGATGATTTATGGCAACTGGTTAGTATGCAAACACACTACCAGAGAGGAGGATGAGGCTCCCCTAGCTGCCATCTGTGTTTTGAAAATTAGGGAATAAAGAATGAGATATGGATCCAAGATAAAATAAAGCAATTTAATTTTAATATTAAAAATCTTCAAGATAGATGGATAGATAGTCATCAAAAATGCAATGCAACAAATCACCCCTGCAAATCAAAAGCAACTCAATCTAACTTTAACATATTCAAATATTTTTTAAAAATCAGGAAAGTAAAAGGCACGACTTCCCTCCACGGAGGCTGAGTTGGCGTCTGAAGACAGTGAGGGCTCGTGGATTGCTGTGATGAATAATTAACCAGAGGGAAATTGGGATCCCTTTAATAAAACCAGCCTGTTACATCACTGCCGTAGAGGAATACTCAGTCATTTACTCATCAACTTATATTCACATTTGCACACATTTCCACAGAGACATAAGTCCAGGATGAGGAAAAGAAAGTCTGTGAGCAATATGTATGCATACACACACCCACCAGCTGCACTGCATCACCACTCCATCAACCAGCACTACAGCATTCCAGCGGCACGCTGAAATCGGTTTATATGGAGGTAATTTGCAAAACCGGAAAAAGCCATTGCACAGAAAATAAGATTTTAGAGTAGACAATAAATGAAGTGAAGACTGAGCTATCTGTTTTCATAGATTGTTGCTTTGTTTTGACTTATAATTACAATCAATACAGCTGGTTAGTTAAAGGAATAGTTCAGTTTTTTTTTTAAGTGAGCTTGTATGATGTACTTCGCTGTCTCCAAAGCCACCAGATTCCTTTGTCATCAGTTTCAGTCTCTCGTCAGAAAGGGCTGTCTAACAGCAAGGTAAAGATGTAAAAATATTCTTTCTATTAAAAGAAGTGTGGCTGTAGCGAGTGGAAGAGGTATGGATAATGGGGTAGCCCACCCCAGGCCCCCAGGTGAGACTGAATGGTATTTTATTGCAGCCCATGGAGCTGCAATAAACATTAAATAGAATACAGGTTTAAGACACTTTCACATCGGCTTCAATTCACAGACCCCGATGCTCTGTCCCTTATTTATACTGTCAGTGTTCCCAACTGTATAGACGTTGTTTCCAAATGTGCAAAAACTGTTTGTCCTCTTTTGGCAAATTATATTTTGTATCAATTATATTTCCTGACACAAAAAGTTAAAATTGAATTCGACTTTAATTTATTGGCTCTTTTTTTTCAAGCTCAAAGGGGTTTACGAAGTCCAGGCAGGCAAAGATTCACAGTCACGTAGACACAGTTTTATCAAGTACCAGCTCTAAATTCTACCTAGATTACAGAGGTTTTCTGGAGTAAAGTGTCGGCTTTCCTGTCTTTCATCTTCCGTTCTCTTTCTCACCCTCTCACCGTTTCCTAAGATAGATAGATACTTTATTTATCCCTAATATCTATCTCAATACCCTCATATCTCAATATCTGTCCTTATCTCCATGTATTCATCCATATCTCCCTCTATCCATCCATCTCTCTGGGTGGCATGGAGCAATAATAAAATATAATGTCAGGGAGGATGAAGATGTCATGTTGCAGGCTTATCGGCGTATCTCTATTTCTATGGATGAGATGGTGCTTTGTTATTAACAAGGTTGCCTGGAGCTGCCTACGCACCGCGTCACCTTCTATCTGAAGACAAGTCTTAATTTTAACACTGGGGAAAATAAGAAATCTAACTTTGCTGTTTGTGTTTTTGACGAAAAATTCCCATATCTGCCTCTTGTTGTTTTTTCACATCTCTTCTCTTAAAAGTTGTATTTTAAGAGATGGCATTTCAAAGGATTTTGGACTAGCAGTTGCATTTGCAGCAGATGCTTTTCTCACTAATTAATGCCAGTAAAGACAACTCTGACATTCGCTCACCAAAAGAAACAGAAACAGAAGCTCTCCCTTTCCTACACACTCACAGATAGAGTGAGCAAGGCATTGGCACTGTTCATCTTTCCGCTTGGCACATTTACACCGGCTATAGGTTAATTGGCTAATCCCAAGTGGATGGAGGGATTGATGGCCATGAAGAGGCAGGGAGAGAGTGAGCAAAAGACTGACAGCAAGGGTAGACAGTAGACAAAATAGCGAGTGGGAAAAGAGAAAATGAGGGGGACATCAGGGCCAATTTGCTGTTTTCTCCCATCATTAACTGATAGCTGGGGCGGGTCATTAACTGAGTCTGTCCTGTATGCTGGTCTCATGGTGCAGGAGAAGGAACACCTGCTGAAGGTGGCAGATGGCAGAACAAAGAGCCCAGAAATAGACCTCCACGAAGGGGAATGGTAGATGATTCAGCTCCTGCCCTATTTTCTAATTATTAATTTAAAAAGGACAAATGTAGAGTTTGTCAAAGCTGAGAAAAAAAGATGTCCTCTGTCAGCCTCATGACATCATTCTCAGCTATGAAACATTTAGATAGATAAACCCACATGGTCAAGCAAATACGAGGCTGCGGTAAGGACTCGGCCTACATGGGGCGGCCCGCTCTACCGAGTGAGCTACCGTGCGCCCAGAGGCTGTACATTTCTAACTGAATTTCCAGAAAATCGGCAAAACAAAATGCTAATTTATTGTGAATAGTAGGAGTTCATTGACATTTAAACAACTGGTGGCGCTAATACTCAGGTCTGGAGCCATTAAACCATTACAGAAGAATTATGTATTGACGTATTCATTTGAGGAAGGTTACAGTCTCTTCATTGCTCCACACAGATCTGATGTTTTACAACTAATCATGTTACTGTAATGAAGTCATGTAATTTCACTCTTACTTAAGTATATATTACACTATTTAATCTACTAAGCTACTTTTAATATGATAATTCACTATTGTATAATTGTAGACCAACAATTTATATCCAAAGTTTAAAACTGGATTTTTGTAGCCAATACGCCAGGGACCATGTTAACCAATTCCTCTGTTCAGACAGAACCATGCCGGGAGCTAGCTCATGATCAGAGAGCACACTGCGGCCAAACTATCTGAAGTTTGGCGACTTCTAGTGGGAATCAAAAAATAGAGGCAGTATTTATTACACCTCACTACCTCACACCCACTCCTCCACCTTCCCTCCATGGATCCAACCACAGGACACTGAGGTAAATGAGCTGAAAGCAAAATATGTTAGATTTCCATTTAATTGTACAAGTTGTAAGCAATTCTTTTGAAAAAATAAAGTGAATCATTTAATTTCCATTTGAGATGTTCAATCAATCATGATCATGATGAATGCCGTTTTGTTTCACTTTCTCATTCAGTCAGACATTGTGGTGGTTTTTCAGTTAACTTTGTCTTAACCAATCGGTAGCAAGTAGTATTAATAGAACAACATCAACCAAAAAAGGTTTGGTTGGGTTTAGGGACAAGCGTGACTTTGTAAGGGTTAAGGAAAGATCACAGTTTGTGTTAAAATAAGTACGGTTAGGTTAGGGGCCCCTTGGCGTTGTAGTAGGAATAACAACCACTTGGTTATGGTTTGGGAACATCTGTGGTGTCTATTATAATGTCACTTCTTCCTTTGTTCCTGACCCACAACAGTGATAGTTCCTACAGCTGCTGTAAAGAGATTAAAAGTACAAAACAATTCCAAAACCATAAAGCCTATAAAGCATTTTAGTCATAAGACAGTTTATCTTGGTGAGCTGACACAGTTCTTATTAAAACACAAACCTTGTTAGGTTGAAGAGTGTTTTTGTGCTTCTGTCTGAAGAGCAAACTTTCACAAGAAAATCTGAAAAGCGTAAACAGAACCTTCTGTCAGTGTGGACATGTCCTGAGCTTTGATGGCCTCACACTCCATTACCTTCCCCGGTCAGCGCCGAAGCATGTTGCCAGCCTGTCATTAGACCTGTTTAGCCTCATTGCGCGGCCCTGCTTCCCACTCTTTTAATTCTATTTCTGTGCGTTGGCCAAAACACAAAGAGTGCGCCAGTTTGCCGAGAAGCGTCCAGGATGCTCAGATGCAACAGAGCGCGGCAGCCTGCCAAACACTGGCCAAGAAAAGCAAAAGCACAGGAGGGATTTAGTCAAGTGCTCATTTAAATATGAGCGAGCAACAGACTGTGGAATTTGAATGAGATTATAAAGGGAGACGGGGTAGGGTGAATTTCAATTTGAGAGCATTACATGTATTCTCTTGCTGTCTCTTACCCCCCCCTCCCTCCCCCGCTGCACC